CTGATAACGAACTTCGTCTTTTTTAAAAGTGTTGCGTTCTGCTCCTCATCTATATGTTAACAGCTGCCTCCCAGCTAACCAACAACTGTTGCTACGCGCAGGATGCTAACTCTTTCTACCATAAATCTTTCTCTTTCCCACTCATTCACAAAACTGTAAATTCTGGGACATCCCAGAATTTCTAATGGGAGGCAGATCTTTTCGCTAACGGGTCCAAAATGGAGGCTGTCTCGGGAAATCAGGGACATCTGGTCACTTTAGCGCAGAGGGACCAGCCTCCTGGGGTCAAGCAAAGGAGAGAGCTTCCATGGAGGTTTAGAGGAAACCACTGAGAAGCAGGTAAGAGGATTTTTCTAACTGTGGAGGAGCTGCAGAGATCAGCAGCTCTAGTGGAAAAACCTTCTAGATCTGTCCCAAAATTTGGCCTTTCTGTAAGACCAGGATGAAGAAGTTGTTCTGGTCAAATGAGAACAAACAGGAGGTTTTTGGTCAACAAACTAAACTTCATATGATGGAAAAACTAACCAGACTCAAACATTCTGTGGAGAAATCAGGTCCGGGATGATTGACCTGTTTGTCTGCAAAAATCTCAGAACTGTTGGTTCAGAACTGGAAAGGCTTTATTGTCTCAGCAGGAGGCATTAATCTTAACACAATCATTTTCATCAGATCATCGTATAACAGTACATTATTGGTAGAGTGATTCTCCCCATTGCTGCGTCTGGGAGGCCTGGTTGCTTCGTCCTAATGAGCAGCATTAGTGGAAACGGAGTGGAATCCAGAAACAGGACTTTCAGTTTATTAGTCACTCAATTCAATTACTTCCTGTTTTTTGCTGATTCATGGTTTAAACCGCAGCTTCAGAGCGTTCCACTGAACCCTGAGCATCTCTGTGTTCACAGCAGGTGTGTAACATCTAAAAATATCCAACACCTCACTGTCTCCTGTCGGCTGCACAGAGAGGAGAAATGTGGAGCTTATTTACATCTATTTACATGTTTAGCCTCCTATTTGTGCTTTCAATTCCATATTCATTCTGGATATATAAAAGCAATATGCATTGATCCTTTTGGTGTTTGTACAACTTTCAACATCTGGATTTGTTCATTTACTCCATGATGCAGCAGAAACGACATGCAAGCCCTTAAACACAATGCTGTAGGTCTTAATGTACTTAGGAAGTAGAAACGGTAAAATAAACCAACAGGAGGCTAGTTTACTTTATTACGTAGGCCATGCTTCTTTCTTACGTAGATTAATAAAAGTGCATGAAAGCAGACATTCGTCAGAAAATGCAAAAGAAAAGTGTGTTTAAAAAAGCATTCAGATCATTTTAAAAGTGAGCAGTAGTTAAAGCAGCCGCTAAGATGGCGGCTTTTTGCCGACTAGAATGGAGGGAAGTCTGCAGTCCTGCTTAGAGATCAGAGGAAGGAGGAGAGATTAGCTGCCGTCAAGCTGCCGCTCACGTTGTAAACGTGCAGCTCCTGATCGCTGCTGTAGTAAGGCAGGAAATGGGCCACATCTGCAAGCGTCTGCAGGATGTCGTAGGTCACAGCAAACAGGAAGTAGGTGGGCAGCAGCCAGGTGAGGCTAAACATGCAGTCCCCCACAGGCAGCGGGACGGCCAGGTGCCTGAAAAAGGAGAGACAGGAGGCTGAATGCAGCGCAGGGAAAGCTCAGCGTAGGTACTGATAGAGCCGACATCTCTGGTACTCACTGGAAGCGGTCTTCTCTGGACTCCCTCAGCATGATGAAGACAAACAGTCCCACCTCAGTGTTGAGGGAAAACGAGACGACTTTGTCCAACATGACAACAAACCCCTGAGGTGGACAGAGCACGTTACAAACCCATGTGGTGCTGAAAGCGTGTGTGTAGTTAC